GAGAGAGCTACATTTGGGTTCTGCTGTTGGTGTTGCCCTATTGGGCATGGACATTGACTCACGATTCTTCTGTATCATTCTCAATGGGATGGTTACTCGGTTCCATGTGCTATCTGCTTTGGCTTTGACTACTTGGACTTCAGTGTGATTTTGCATTCTGGATTTCTGTGCTTTGTCCATACTCATGTTCCTTGCAATTTTGGTATCGGAGCTGGTTTGATCGCCACTTACCTTCGGCATGCTGGCGTTATACAGACTTGGTGCATTGATGATGCTTCTTCGCAGTTGGTAGTTGTGACGTCAGGCCATTGATAGGTGCACGCCCTGGGTAGAGAGGGGTGCACCGGAAGGCTATTACGGCAGTGCATGCCGTGGGATACAGCGGAATGTTTGATTGATGATGAGAGCATGYTGATGTGRCATTGGACTAAGGTGGCACTGCATTGCGTTGTGGGTGGTACCGAGGTCATGACCGGTCATCAAATGCAACATCAGCTCAATTGGTGAGAAATTTGTGGTTGGGGGAAGCTATCTCCAGTTATGTTGATCCCTTACCTCATCTACTTTCTCAATCTCTTTTTACCGTGAGGAAGTGAGTCCAACTTGAGAGTCCTCTCCTTGGTGAGGTGTCGTGAGCGCGCTACCTTGAGAGACGACAATCTTCCCGGAAGCATCTGGAAGGAGAAAGGGCGGTGCCTCTGAAGGGCCCTGGTCGAAGCACGGGGTCACGATCACCATGCCAACCCACAGGGAGTAGTGCACGCATGCGATGGCTGCTGTCCTGTTTGGCACTTGCTGCGCTGATAGAAGTTCCTCCGGGTGTGCCAGGCCATGACAGACGCTTACCAGACTGTCTATAAATATTTCTGGTTGGGAGTTCATTGTGAATCTGGCTGTGATCGCCGTCCTGACTGCGACGTTAAATAATTCCTGAAGAGATGGGGGCGCTCTATAAATTCCTCCTGATCAGCCAGATCACATGAACAGGAAGGCTCGTCGCCGTACGAGGGTAAATAAGAGTGGTTGGGCTGGCTTGCTCGGTGACAACTTGGGCACAGGGGTGGGCCGAAATAACGAAGACACTGCTCGCTCAATGATGCTGTTTGGATGGTTGGATTGAGGGGAAGGGTAGGTTCCAATTGGTGCTCAATTGTATACACAACCATACCCATCAATCATACATCTGCTACCTTGTCTTTTTGTACCTTTGATTAGTTGGTTGACGGACTGCTAACCTCACAAACAGAATCAGTGTAGGACTGTTGTATGCTACCATAGCCAGTTCTAACTAATCCTGCTGTAAGTGAACCATTCAGGGTGCATCTAGACTATGTAGACAATCTGTGTGAATGTTGTAGACATGCCACTTGATTCGGTATAGTAGGATACTCGTCGGACACAACTATTGTTAGAAAATTAGGTGTCGGTCAGATACATGCTGTGGTAGGATTCCACTAGGGGATTCTAGTGCAGAAACTATCTGCCTAAGTAATGAGTGGATCAGATCCTGTTGATGATAGAGCTGACAATAGGAGACTTACACGTTCGGAAGCATTAAGGGTTCCGCACGTGTTCAGGACTTTGGACGAGGGAGAAGAAAGACGGCTTCGTGCCGAACGTAGAGCCCGTGCTCTAGCAGCAGGACTACTGGAAGCAAACAGAGTAGCAAGAGAGCGGGCAACAGCAGCCAGAGCAGCACCAATGGCTAACGGTACTAGCTCTGCTGCGTCATCGTCTGCGTCCTCGTCAGGGACTAGTGGGACTCACTTGGGAATGCCATTGAGTTCCACGAGTTCCTCGGGCACTTCCGGTTCAACAGGGTCTAGACAGTCTTCTAGTCAAATGGCGGGCTCGCAGTTCAGCCCGTTGACCCCACGTGAGAGGGAGCTCAGAGAGATCCAGCAGGTCGAGAGACTCAGCCAGCAGTTAGAGGAGGATCTGAAGAAAGCAACCAATAGAGAAAGAGAGATAAAAAGTAGAGCGGCCAGACTTGATACGTTAGAGGCTGACAAGGCTGCGTTAGAGGGATTGGATGAAACAGGTTTGTCTGACCCCCTGAAAGTGTTGAAGAACAACATGTTGTCACTGCATGTGCACGTAGACAGAAGGTTGGACTTCATGCAGAGCACTTTGGACCAGATGCTGGATGCATTGACAAAGCCAGGATTCCGGCCACCAGCACAATCGCCGTTGCCGTTATCGGCGATGCCAGGCCCCTTTCTAGTTCAAGCTGGTACCCAGCCTAGTGGTACGTCTGCAGCACTCTCACAGACTGTTGCATCTTCTTCTTCGGGTCCAGCGGTGGTTGCTACACCACCGCAACAACCTGTATCTCAACAGGGACAGCAACAGCAAATGCTGAAAACCCAGGGCCTTTGAGTTAGTTAGGCCCTGGGCACTTGAATGTGAGGCCGACAATGCACGCTGGGTAGAGAGGCCGAAAATGCCAAAGGGAAATCGGCCCACTGTCTGAATCTGGCCGCAGGCCTTGATGAAGGAGG